GACTGGTACCTGTTCATATACGTTCTTGGCAGATGATCCAGAAGTGGTTTGCCATTGCCTTCTTCTGTGTGTGAATGGAGTAATTGTTGGGATGCCACGGAGAAACCGGGGAAGCCCCCGGAGGTAACTCCGTGTTGCCTAGACCACGGCCTTGCTCAACACAAGTTATAAATTCGGGCACCGCCGGGAATCGAAGGAACCGGGATTCAGTAATTTTAATGACCAACACTTGGCGGTATAATTTCAATTTAATGATTTCTTTTATCATTGATGTATGAGATGCCTTGCAAACACGTAGGACTTTGCTGATTTTATCTAATTGTCTCAATAATTTTCTTTCTATATAGAAACTTGAAATTTTGGTATAGATTTATAAAATGTATTCTGATATATGTCGTTATAATTCTTTTCTTTTTTAGCTAAAGTTTATGAGTTATGAAGATGACCACAAACTGGTCGAAGAATTTCGCTAATATCCTCATTCCTACGACAATTTTATGCAAGTGATGGTTGTTACTTAAGCTCTTACACATTGAGCAATTCGTAACAACAAAATAAGAACCATATTCGCGATAAAATTAGCTGAATAAATTAATGGAAATGTTTGTTTATAATAAATTCGAAAAATGTTGTGTCATCTACTTTTCAAAACGTTAATGATCTGAGTACTCAAAACAATTTACTTTTACGTTGTTTTGTGTGGGTGTGGCAAATATCTCTTTCAGTTTCGTGAGTTCCTTGTAGAACGTGTATATTAACGATGTTGAATCTGCTTATTGTTATTTATACTTCAGTTCATTGGAATCGAACTCTTCGGTCACCATGTTACGCATGTACAAGTGACGACGCAAGGCGCATGCGCGTACAGCCTCGTCTTCTCGCCGCGCCTCCAAGCGACCGACGGGCCGAGTCTGTATTACCGTTGAGCTTGTCCCGCGAGTCGAGAGCTCGTAAATACCTGATCGATTGTAAGGCCCTCTGCCGTGCGACTGACCAACACATCCGCTCCATAGTGCATCGCAGTGGACTGACGCTAAATTTTCATCAAATTTGGAGTTTCTCTCGTCAGATACAGTTAAATTTGAGTGAGTTAACTCGGTCTCCATTTTATTGAAAAGTGACAAATCCGGGAATCATATTTACTTTTATAATGTACTTTAAGACGAGTGAAAGAAATCTACTTTTTTTAAACTGAGTTAAATATTAAGTCAGCGCATAAGTGACATACGAAACGATTTTAGGATCGTAAATGTATTAAGTGCTTTGAATTATTTCCGCTGGTTTCCTTGTGTTGAAATTAGATGAATTAATTTTAGCACGAAGAATATAGAACAGAAATAGTTTGTTATTAATTTTTGGACGTTAATCGGTGTAGTGGGTGGCATTACGCAGTTGACAAACGTTATTTTAGTGCGTATATGTATCCTATAAGTGACAAATTGAAGAAAAAATTACGTAAATCAGTATTTTAAGTTTAAACTGATGACTGAAGTTGAAACTGATAATTTAAAAAGTGAACGCCATAATTAGATTTCATGTATGTTTATTAATTTTAAAATAATTTTATATATACAAAAATAAAAATCATAAAAGTATAGTTTGAACGTGGTGTAACATAGACAAAAGTGTGATGGTATATACTCCTTGCCTACTAACTCACACTTTCCCGCGTTGTGATGGTTAAGCATTCACGCAGAAAGTGAACATCGATTTCAGACTCCATATCACTTCAAAATAATGAAGTTAAACAACGCACGTTGGAGAGTCAAGGGCGGGGTTCAGTGAAACGGACGGCTAACAAGTGGTTTCTCCTGTGACTAGCCAACCAAAAGATTAGCTCGGAAGAGAAAGGTACAGAAAGAGACTGACGTCTAAATTCTATTGAAGAACTGGAAAATGTATCATAATCTCATATTAAGTATCGTATATGTGAAGCGTTATCCTTGTTACAAACGTAAATATTGGACATCAACTTTCGTCGAGGTGTGTTACGTGTTATAAAAATATAATTACAGAAGATAAATATATAATTGCTGAATAATTTTCGTGGCTATAAATAACAACTAACATTGTACTTGTTGTCATTGTATTCAATCGTACTTTAATCCGGTAGGACTTCTTATGAACTTGAAAGTTACAGTGTTTTGAACTATAAATTGGACTCTAAGCGAATTGCATTTCTCCGGAAGGGTAACGTGTTTCATTCAACGGCCCATATAACTAAATTATATCTCTTAATTAACTTGTTTGCTTTGTTGTGTATTGACAAAGTTGCAATGTATTCGGAAAACAAAGGGCAAGACAATGATTTCTGAGATAAATTTGAACAGGTTTTAACGAATATCTTCAAGGGATGTTCTTGTATCAAAAATTTATAGTGAATTACGAATAGTAATATTGCAATATTTGCAGCAGAACTGTGAAGAAAATATATAAGAGTTTGTGACGACTAATTTTTTTTTTCAAATAATAGTAAAATAATTTATAGTTGTGAATACTGTATTATTATAACAGAATAGTAAATTAGGAATTAAAATAAGCATTAGTCCAGTTTGACCCCGATATATACCAGAAACGTTTACACACAAATTGTTAGTTTTTTAACACGTAACATGCAAAGTTACGTGTTGAAGATTGGCCGTTCTTTAAGAAGACCTTCCCATTTATGATGCATATCTCGGAATGTACTAACATCAGTTTACTGTGGTATATATTTTAAATATGTATGAAGTAAAATTTGAAAAGTTAACAAGCACGTGCGAAATTAGAACAGAACATTAATTTGATAAAGATGTCACAAGTAAACAATTTTTTTACAATTTAACATCTGTTATTTAGGCTATATACTGTGATTTAATCGTAGGCCTACAGCTGGTGGTTATTTATAAATAATTTCTTATTAATTTTTGAAAGTTATTTTATATTTGTTATTGATGTACGTAGAATATAAACAATTTAAAGAATGTTTTGTTATTGATGTTACGTATGAGTTCTAAGTAATCTTCTGAAGGACGAACAAAATTATTTAAAATAAAATATACTACCGTGTATATAAATATGTCTATTAATATAAAAAGACCAGCTTTAGGTTTCTTAAATTCTGTAGAAGAAATAGTGAAATCTCTGTCAAACTTTAAATATACGTGATTTGTGTTGAATGCGTTTGAATCTAGTTTCCGTCATTAAAAATGTAAGACGTTCGACACCATGAAATTGTCATACGTTTTCGAGTGTGTAATGAATAACCTTTTAACAAGAAACTTACGTATTAGGAAAAAGTAACTATAACTCAAATATATTAAACTACTCGTGAGTTATTGCTTCGTCATATGTATTTATGGCTGTAAGGAATTGAATTATGACTTAGAGGGCATTTGAAACTAGTTCCGTAGACTTTAATATTTGAAAATGCAGAAGCTAGTAACTGCAAATATTAAGAGTATGTGAATTTCAAAACTGTTCTTAAGTAAAAACTTAGTTTCCATTAATTGACAGTTTAATTTACGTTGTTGATATGTAGAAATACTTTGCCAATATAAATATATATCTTAGCAACAAATCCCAACAGAAGAATTTAGTGTGTTTTAAATTAAATCTCTATTAGTGAACTATTTTGTAAAACTACGATGTTTCATAATCGAAGAAAATAATTTTACGCAAGATCAAATGCGTTTATTTACTTGTCTGTGCCCTTATGACATTGATGTTGATTACTAAACTCCAAAACATAAATTTTGTAAATCCACAATAATATATTTTTACCCCTGTGACTGGAATAAAAAATGCATCGGTTTTATTTTGCGATGTTGGTGTGTAAAATTAAAGGTGACCTTGAAAATCTATATATGAGAACGAAATACATGTTGGGGGCTTTATTTACGTAACAAACGTATGTACGTCCATGTATTCTGTACGCTGAGCAGTGCCCGTGGAACTGAGGGGGGGACGAAGGAACGCGTACTTCCGACTTTCACCCAGGCAAGAATGAAGTTTGTGATTAGTCGTGTTTTAACGTGTGTTGAATCGAGACCCATCCACTTCAAGTGACTCGCAGAGGAAGACGCCCTGTGTCCTCGTACAGCGTTTATTTGTGGTAAGTAAGAAATCTGCAGACCAATTTTATTGGCGTTGTTTCTTTTTGCAAATTGCAGAGTTGTGTCCAAGATTTTGTGCTGTTTACCAAATACGCAGGAATAAGACTTTCTATCGGAGGTAACAGAATGTAATAGTTTCGTTATTGTTTTGTTCAACTCTTAAATTCTGCTTTGATTATGGAATCTACAAAGACTGATAATTTCTATCCTAGCCGAGATCGAAACGAGTACTTCTTCAGGATTTGCCAGCTACTTACCTGTTGATATCGGACTTCTGAGTTCTAACGACATGCGGACTTGCAGGTACATACTGCCTCCATCCAAAGGGTAGACTTCTATAACGGGAAGCAGGCTTATGCACTACAGTTTGTGGAAATTCCTTCATACGTATTTGCATCTTTGCAAAACAAATATTTTTGAAGGTGTACTTATTTCCAAAGCTTCATCTCTTCTTCTCGAGGATATTGGTCCATGTCCAAAACACCGCACCAATCATGATATTGGACTAGAAGCTTTCACGGCGACTGAAATCGGTGTAATCTCATGGACATTCCCCTGATGATGGAAGCGGAAATGGTCTCCGAAACTTTGGGATATTTTCCACAGATGAGACTGCTTGTTGTCCGAGGAGATATTATTGAATCATGATATTATTTACCGCCATTGATGTTGAAGATAATAGACGAAGAAACAGTAGTTTCAGGGTAAAAATAACGGGAATTTATACGGAAAATTGATTGAGCATACGTGTGTCTTATACGACACAATTTTTGTTTCACTAATCTCACTGTGTTGATGTTTTTCCTGCAATAGTTGTTATTTATCGGTGTTTTTAGAGACTGCGAACGCACCCGAAAAGATTCCGTCTTGCGGTATAGGACATGTCGACCTAGTACTACGTATAGGCTTATTACACCCAGAAAACTAATATTAAACAGGTGACAAGCTTTAGTGACGCACTTTGATCAAAATTGCGGTCTGATTTGAGCCACCGTTGAAGAATGTAAAGTGTCCAACGTAACTCGGGACCCATCTACTAGCACGCGACGGCCGTGTTCTCCGCCGTGACAACTTAATTTTCTGGTTCCGGTAGTTGGCTCGCTGCTATGTCATACAGTCGTCGCGGGTTGTACGTTAAAGTGGACACTGTATAGATGTTGAAGCTAGGTTTCTGCATGAGTGTACATTTAATTGAGTAATCTCGGTCCGTTTTATACTTTCCAAACTGGGGCTAACGCGAGATGTCTCATAGTTCTTTAATAGTAAGTATAATGGAACTATTAAATATGAAATTCTTACATGTTCTCTGGCGAATATCAGTTAAAAATTAATGTCTAAGCTAACGGTAAGTTTATCTGGTGCTTTATTTTACATTATAACATCACAACGCCGTAATTATTAAGAGGATTGAAATGTTTTAAGCGTTTATAATATGAGACTCTAAATTGTACCTTATTTTTTAATATTACTGAGAATCTGGGCTTTATTAATCTTTGTGTATTCTCTTTCAAAAAATATGCCTGTTCTTTGTGTCTGAGGTTAGCTCTTTCTTAGGAACATAGCTGATAAGGTATTTCTACCTTTTTTCGCATGAGGACGAAACTTTGCTATAGTTTCGAAAAAGTTGTGCTGTTTTCGGAATACCAGACGTTGCTTACAGTCCAAAAATTAGTAATATTAATCATAATATACCAGTGTCGTTACAGTAATTGATTATGTAGCTTATACAGAGCGTCTCTTAAAACGCAATCGAGAACATGAAATAAGAAGCAGATCTTACCCTTGTACCAGAATCTCTTGGTGCGTGTGGACGTTACTTCAAATAGAAATAGTTTGCTGCTCTTTGAGAAGCGTTTAGGAACGCATGTCCTTATGTCCTTGTAAGGAATTGGTACTCTGCTGCTCTACAGTCGTTGATGGTACGACGTCGATCTTCGTGAATGGCCTGCCGAATTTTCGTAACATTTTCGATCGTTGTGCTCGAAGATGGTCGTCCAGAACGCTCGTCATCATCGACAGAGGTTCGGCCATTTTTAAAACGTGAATGCCACACAAAAGTTTGTGCACGACCCATTGCGGACTCCCCAAATGCTTGCTTTAGCATTTCATACGTTTCCGTAGCCGTTTTGGCGAGTCTTTGGCAAGAGATTCAGGCAGAATCGCAGATGGTGCTTGACAGGCTGACAAAGAAAGATTTCCAGGGATGCTTCCAGGCTTGGCAGCGGCGCTGGGATCGTTGTGTTCACTCCCAGAGGAACTACTTCGAGGGTGATGGATGAATTTAATACCTGTGCCGTCAGAAAGTTTCAACTGTGCAGCGAATTTTTATAAGCGATTGTATATTTGCTCGTTTAATTATAAAAAGGCAAATCTTATATTTAATGAACTGGAATTTTGTAATACACTCTCAAAGGCTCGGCGTCGAAATTTTTATCCAACATGTGAAATGTTTTGTTCTCACATGTCTGCATTCTTACAGAGGAGATACTTACATGTTGATACATATTTATGACCATGTATAGTCTACTACGCCCTTTTCGTGAAGCAAAACTTTGTGGTTTGATGTAAAGTGTCTTTGACAAAATATGGTGTAAAATGTTTTTCGGGACATTGATATATTTAATATGCTCAGAGTTTTGAGTTTTATTATAATGCGTACATATCTAAACTATTATGTGGAAATAACGTTACGTTTTTAAAGAGATTCTTTCTTTGATAAAGGGATTGTATGCTAACGAGTGAGCCCGTTATTGAATAAAATAGTTTTAAAAACCTTTAAAGTACCTGTCCCAAAGTATTAAATATGAAAAGTTACGTTCCCTTTAATACTGATGGTGCAAATTTACCTCTGATAAAGATAATCGGGTCACTGAATAATTTAATTTTCCATGCTGGTTTTTGTATTTATTGCCATGAAGGATTGATTCGAGTATATAAAATTGTTTTGTTTTATATATAAACAAGGGAGAGGTGAGGTTTAATATTAATTCTTGCCAGAATTCTGTTCCGACAGCGTAGGTTTCCAAACACTTAAAAAATAGAGTCTGAAAGGATGATTTTCAGTTATGGTGGCATTGTTTACTTTATTGGATTTATCAGGTTCGTTTAATCTGCTTAAATGGAGAACGAGACGATACGTGAGGAAAAGGGTATTTGGTAAACGAGGGGAAGAGAGCAGATGAAGAAGAATCAATTATCAATATCCTGCATCCTGAAGGATTATTTTATTTCATTTATTAGTAAATGATTTTGAATTTTTATTATTGATATATCTTTATATTAACTGGTATTTCCTGTATAGTTTTGTTTCTTTTTTTGTAGGAGATATATTTCGAGAAACTTTGTATTTGAAGAATGTACTTAAGTTTAAAAATTGTGATTATGATGCACAGGACCGTAATTTTGCAGTTAGTGCAGAGTTGTGTACGAGTGAAATCCCATTCGTGTCTTTGACGTTCGCGTCACGTAACAGAGAACGAATTATAATTACATTTTAATTCAAAGTTTCCATTAAGATCTAAATGTAGGGCGACAGAAAAAAGGCGGAACCCATTTTAAATATTATTACTCCTTTTATAATTACCGGTTTAATTGTAAGAAAAAAGGCGGAACCCATTTTAAATTTTATTGCTCCTTTTATAATTACCGGTTTAATTGTTAAAATAATAGCTAAAAGTTTTGGGAAGAACAGTACATAACCTTACACATGATAAGTGTACAGTTTTATTAATTATTGATTTAAATGAAAACTGTTCCTTTAAAATCTCTCCACATAACAAAATCTTCATCGTATTGGATGAGAATGTTGTCTACAAATCCTTAGCGCTGCTAATTGTAGTTGTTGTAAAGCTGCTTTGTTCTACCGGTGCATAGAATGCCAAAAATATAGGCATGAATCATTTCTGTCTCTTAAAAACTTTGACAAGACAGGACATTTTCCTTAAATATATTCCAGTATTCCATTTAATTCTTCGTCGGGGTTGTTGAACGAACTACAAGACGATATTAATGGAGGTTTAAATTTTATTCTGTAGTCGATATTTCTGTAAAGCTGTTACAAACATTTTATCAACGTAGTCCGTTAAAACAGGATTATGGCCGGGTTAATATTTTTTGATAGTGAAAGCTCCCAGTTTGCGTTTATTATGTTTTTTTTAGTACATACGCAGCCAATGGAAAGAAAATAACTCCATGCTGTCATAAATATAAAGATTAATCTATGAAGATTACCGATAAACTGGTTCTGAAGAGATAAACCTGATTTTTGTTCGGATAGCTTTTGGTGACCGACGGATATATAATCTACCAACACTAACAACGTATTAAATGAAATATTTTTGAAATTTATTTTCTGTTCGGTTTCCTAATTCATTCGCCCCTAAACCCCCAAAAGGAGAGTTAGGGATTTTAAAAGGAGGAGGTAAAATAAAGGAGCGAAGTGGTGGAGCCCTCCGGCGATGTTGGTGAACTAGGTACAGATCCTAGTATGCCCATAATTATAATCTTGCAGTGCTTAACTAAGCGAGCCAGTTTTCGACTAATACTTAATAATAAAATCATCTTCTTGACAGTCGTACGTCGTTATTACTGGCAATGCTGTCCAAAGCAGTGCAGATAATGTGATAATGTAGCTCAGTATTATCACAGTGCAAAATTAAAGTTCTGTTAAAGCGAAAACATCACCGCATTTCTGTCAAAGAATATAATTCCACTTTTTTCCTCTCCAAAGTGCACTCTCTATTACTTGTAATATTTTTCTTCCTTTGACCTTGAAGATGGTTGTAAAATAAGCTTCCGAAACGTTATGATTTTAATAGAACTTAGACGGTGCATAATGTCACTGAAAAAGCAGTTTAATAACATGTCATACCATCGTCAGAAACCTTCTAACTTCATGTCAAAATTTTTTCTAATTATTTCTTATTCAGTAGAAATGTGCACAATAAATGAGTTAATTCATTCCGTGTTAGGGTCTGTTTATGAACACTCTTGTGTGCAT